TATATATAGATTATTACAATTAGAAATCGTATATAACAAAGAAGTGTATGTATTGTTTATTGTATAATACACTTATTCAAAAGTCAAAGGCCAGTGAAACCTGTGATCATATTATTATATAACCGACACGTTCTATTCGACAGATTATTCTATTCTATGCACATTCGAAAAAGATTTACATAGTAGTGCCAGTCGGATGTTTCACTAACATAAGATAAAGAATGTATGGAATATTGCAAATATTCTTGAAGAATATTCTTAAAATGTTCATATAGGAGTGTCTTGTGCTATCTGGGAAGAAACCGAGTTCTCTCTTAGTTGTCACATAACAAACGTCTCCTCGTGATACGATTGAGACCTTTTTACATAAATTTAGAAGAAACCTCGCTGTCGAAGTGTCAGTATACTTTTCCAAAGTGACGAAATAGTTTTCACACGAGGCAGCCTCGCGTGAGAGCGTCAGTGTGGTCGTGAAATTCAGTAGTTCGTAGCATTCGCAGAGGTTGATATAATTTTCGCAACGATATGGCCATTCCGTGCGCATATGCGGGGCGATCGCGTCCGATCAGCATTATAGATCACCACGTGCTCGCTCGACACGACTACTAATGAACGTACTTCAACGGTGAAACCGGACTCGTCGTACCAGGTGCATGATCTGCGCCATAAAAGCACATTATCATTGTGGAGGTATGTGCACGGCTGAGATCTCGGCTAACCATTACTAATTTTTTGCTAACCTACTTGTTCCTACCGATACCCGTTACCCTACGCAAATGACACGCGTAGTAATTGCCTTCGATCATAATTGCGTGGCATCTTTTAAAAAGGCAGCGCCAATACGGCCACGTACACGCGAGCCAGATGGCCCAACAAAGTACCGAGCTTCGCGTCGCAAGCTACAAACTACTGGGGAGCAAACTTTTTGCACACGCGTGCATTCCGAATATTAAATCGAAGCTGCAATTAGAGCTTAAAAAATCCGAAAAAAAATCATCCAGTCGATTTCATGCCATACATTAGTGTCTTTAGGCGAGATTAAAGAAAATGGGACTATATTTCGGGCTTAATAGAAGGACGTGCACCGGTTGCGGATCGCGCATCGATGACCCTCGGCGAGAAGCTACTCTCAGCATCCGCTACGG